AGTCAATTTGGAGTAGTGACCAGGCTAGAAACTGGGAGACTGTGAGTTTTAGTCATGCCTTAGGCACAAAGCCAGCTGAGTGCCTTCGGCCTGTTGCTCTCAGTCTGCCTTAGGAAGAAGGCAAGAGCAAGTCACTTCCAAAAATCTTGCCAGAAAAACTGCAGGGACTTGTCCAGGATAGTTTCCAGAAGTCAGTGCTGGCTCGAAGGAACAATGTCTATCTATCATCTATCTATCTCAGAAAAAATGGAAAAACGCCATGCCTTTTGGTGGTAGTGGTAGGAATCTCCATCCAGGAGCACCCCAAGATGCTCCTCCCTTTTCCAGCCACCAAACTACCAACAAACAAGTGATCCTGCAGATAGGCAGAGAAGATCTACCCTTTAAAACAGCTCAGCCGTAGCTTCTTTTGAAAATGATGTGCTGCAGGCAGAGATAGTCGTCAGTGGCAAGAAGGAGAAGTGATGCCTGTCTCCCTTCACAGATGAAATCAGCTGGGAAGTTGGGAGAGTGGGTGAAATCCCTCATATTTTCCTGCAAGAGTAAGGAATCTTTAGCATTACAGGTAGTCCCTGTTTAGCAACTGCCTCATGTGCCTCAGTGTCTATTTGCAGTTACGACAGTGATGAAAAAGTAAGTTTGCAACCAATGCCCACATTTACAACTTCGCAAGTCTGTAAAGCAAGCAACTGCTTTGATTAATGACCAAGTTGCCAGTCCCAATTGTCACTAAATGAGGACTACCTGTAATAGAAACTCCTATTAATTGGCCTCCCCCCACCCTACTCAGCAGAAAAGAACATGACTTCAAAGAATACAATTAGCATTGCACGAATAAGATTCTTAGAAGCTAGTAATGTTTTTCAGATGAATGTATGTTTGCTGTGGTTATACTGGTACAATACTTGCTCCTGTTTAGTATAAGTACATAAAAAGCTAAAAAAAGATGTCATTTCTGAACATACAGTGGATGCAGGTTAAGAGATGGTATGAATTATGAACTTGCATTTAGGGTTGGCCTTTTATGGAGATGATACAGCAACTGTTAACTGTGCAATTAGATTGCATGCATTTTGTAAGCCCTTCTGAAATAGAAACGCCCTTTTCATTATCAGACCTTCTGCAAAGTCAGCAGAGAAAATATTCAAAATCTGTCACATTTGCCCTCTGTCCCCTTTTATGCAATAGCAGGGGAGTGTGCTCTTATTGTTCAAGACATCATATATCCAGTGATTAAATAGTGCATTCCCCATGACTGAGATGATAGCTACTGATGAGAACTTCCTATGTCACTTTAAAGATGTTTGGCAAGAAAGGGGATGATGTGTGTCCCCTTTCTTATAGATGAATTTCAAAGGTTAGGAAACCCCATCTCCAAGGGTGAGATGGTTAGAGTGACAGAACAGCTGCAAGAATTGCGAGAAGTGAAAAGTTTAACACTCCTGCCAAAGTACAAAATTAGCAGCCAATAGCAAATTAAGGAACTGCCATCTGATCAGAACGATCACTTTCTGTTCCAAGATCACTCCTGAGAATGAAATTAATCCAGCGGCTCACCTTGGACCTCTTTTAAACAGTGTTTCCAGTTCAAGCTGGTAAGGGAGATACTTTCAGAAGGAGAAGATAGGCTCCAAGAGATAATGTGCGATAAATATTGTGCTGGGCTTCTGGTGGAAAGATCAAGCTTCAGATTTTGGTTTGATCATGTAAACTACTGAATAGTCTTTGGCAACTCACTTATGCTAAATCATGATTTATCTGGCTTTAGCTTTACAGTGTTGTATGAAACCCAGCATCATAGTTTGCAATTACTTAAGCACATAAGAAGTACCTAGTTTAGCTAGGCTTAATTGATTTTATTTGGAATTCTGTTTGTGTGTGATTGTTGCCTTCCTGTCTTTTTCCCCTATTTCCTTTTTTCCAATGAACATTTTATAGCAAGAGATTTGACTTCTTTGATTAAGAATTTCTCATTAAAAGCACTTGCAAGACTACACAGCTACCCCCTTTGTTTCAGGATTGGCAAAGATTTGGGTAGGTTTTGTATTTCTGAGCTTTTTGTTTTCCCTAGGTTGAGTAGAAGGAAGATATCTTTGGAGAAGAGCTAAAAAACCCTTGGAAGTCTCTCAGAGAGAATTTAAATTATTCTAACCATAACCCTAACCCTGCCATTGCCTTCTGCAATGAGAGAGAGGGGACCTGCCAGAGGAAGGTTGGGTAGAGATAGGGGACTGAAAAGTAAGCTGGCCCTGAGATACTCATGTGCCTGTTGGCACAGCAGAAGATGTACATTGTGATGACCCAAGATGTAGGTGAAGAAGTGGGACCTTGGAGTTAGAAAATGATGGTCAGAGCTTTACACTCTTTTAAAGTCTTATTTTTTAAAGTGTCTAATCTTTTTGTTTTCACTCAGGTCATGATGAAATTATCAGTGACAACGAGGAGGAATTCCTGTCATGAGAAATATTCAGATAGGTTAATAAGGTTTGCATAAAGGGAAGGGGGAGGTAAAGGATCACGATGGCCCTTCCCAAGTGTGATGAAACCAAGTGTTGGAGGCTGAGGGTGGAAGGATTAACTTGCTCATCTTCCCTTTAAAAACCTCAGTTTTTAAGTTAGTCAACTAGCGATGATATCTCATAAAACAGTGTAATTCAACTGCTAAGAATGAGACACTGAGAGATAATGTGGTGGAGCAAATGGTAAAACCAAGTCTCTCTGTCCCAAAATTTCCACATCTTTCCAAATGTTGGGGTCAGAGTGACAAAGATTACTTTGATTTGGGTAACTGGTTTTTCTTTTTAAAAATTGTTTCTAGTATATAGAAAGAAAGAGATGGGGGATACAAAATAGGAAAAACAAAAATAAAAATACATTAAAAAGCAGCCCAGTTTTTAAACAGAGCATTAAATCTAGAATAAGTGGAATAGTATTGATCAGTCTTTTAATTATATCGATGGAGAGCAAGTATATGAGCAGAGAACCAATGGCATGTCATCAATCCTAGTTTGTAAACCTGGATTAGCCACATGCTCAGTAAATGCATTATTCTTCATATATTGATAAATTCCAAATTTTTGGTACATAATTTAAAATTATATTAAGCTTACTGATATTTAATCAAAATAAAATGATAATGGGGCAAGTTATGTCATAGTTTAACTGTTCCCTCCATCATCTTACACTGTCAACATAATGAAGTTGACTGCTAACCTTTTAAAAACATTTTCTGAAATGTCCACT